CTGACAAGATCCCCAGGAGCAGCAGCAGCTGATCCATCTATGAGAAGTGCTTTCTGCAAACACAGCCCCCTGGGGAGGGGACACCACCAGCTGGGGAGCTCTGTAGGAAATCTTTGCATGGTCCTCCAAAACCACACAGGCAAGAGGGTTGGAAGGGGCTCCAGGGGCTCTGAACCAATGGACCTTGAGGTAGATCAGCCACCAGGCCACGCATGAAGGGTTTGGCACCTTCCTCCCCACCTCTGCAAGCAACGTTGAGCCAGGTTTTATGTGTACACCCCAAAGCAAAGTGTCTTTGGGATCCCCAACGATGCCCAATGCCGCCCACCACCCCCCCGTGACACCCAATCCCTGCTGGGATCCTCCCACAGGGCTGGAAACCCTCCCAAGCCTTCCAGGGCTGGTCAGAGCGAGGAGCTGCAGGGCCCTGCAGCAGAGGACAGTGGCACAGCCCCCAGAGAAGGTTCCCCAGGGGGGTGGGCTGCAGGAACCCCCCTCTCCTGGCGGGGACCTCTCCGGGTGGCCACCCCCCTGCCCTTCCTTCCCCCTGTGCCAGCTCCTCACAGCAGCCCCGGGGTGGTGGCACCCTCTGGAGCGTGCAAGAGAACTAGGTCAGCTCCACACAGCCTCTAAATATTTCACAGCCCTGCCAGCCCTGCCCTCCCAGCACACCCAGCTCCTGTGTGGCAGGAGCAGAGCCTGGCACCGAGGGCCGGTGGGCAGCCAAGGGCAAGGGCCAGGAGGGCTCTGGGCAACCAAGTCAACCCCAGGGGCTCTGCCCTCTTGCCCCCACTGCTGGGGAGGTTCCTTGGAATTAAATTGCTCCCTGGGAGGTGTGGTGGCTCACCAGGATCATAGGTTGGAAGAGGGTTTTCAGATCATCAAGTCCAAGCGTTGCCCCAGCACTGCCCGGACACTGCTGAGCCAGGTCCCTTGGAAACCCCTCCAGGGGTGGGGACTCCACCACTGCCCTGGGCAGCCTGGCACAGCCCTGGGCAACCCAGGGGTAGTTACTAGGGGTGGTTTCTGCCCAAGAAATGAAGAGTTTTGATTAAGATTAGTTGAAGGCAGCCAGCACACAGGGGCTGCCACGGTGCCCACAGCAAGGGACAACCCCTGGGTAAGAGCAGTGGTGGGTTGTGCCCGTGCCCAGGGCACCTGAAAAAGGAGAAGGAGCCAAATCAAAGAAATAAAAAGAAACAATAAATTAAAAATCTGGAAATCATGCCCAGAACTTTCAATTTAGTCCTTCACAGAGGGACCTTGCCAGCAGCTGTGTTGAATCCTCACCACTGGATCCCTGACCCCTGGCTGGGGTGAGCTTGGTGGCCCAGATACCTTCCCTCCATGCCATGCCGTGGCTCTCTGGGCTCCAGCAGCTCTGATATTCTCCACAGCACGGGCTGGAAGGAGCAAATCTTCCAGCAGCTTCATCCCCTCAAAGCCCTCCCTTTGCTGGAGCCACCAGGAGAAGGTTATTTACATTTTATCTGGGGGAGAAAGGACAATGAAGTTTCCAAGCTGGTTGAATTCAGTTATTCTGCAGCTTGGTGACCAAGCAGGAGGCCTTCTCCTGGCATGGGCTGGAACAGCAGCGAGGGCAGAAGGACCAGGGGCACACAGAGCCCAGCAGGGATGAACACATGGACCACCCCTGGGAGGAGCAAAGCCTCTTCATCCTTAGGAGCATCACTTTCTAAGTCATCCAGGTGTTGCTTGGCCATCAGGCTCCACCCAAGTGAACCTCTTGGCCACCCCCAGACCCAAGTGATGGGGAGTGTTCCCATGTCAGACCCTCTCAGCAGCACACTCTTCAGCCTCATGACAGCAGGACTCCACATTGGCTTTACAACCCCCCAGCAGGAAGCTTGGATAAATCATTTCCATATAAATATTTCATTAAAATCTGCTTTTTATCAGGTTCTTCAGAAATACAAACCCAGAATGGTTCCAAATCATGTTTCCTGCGAAGCTCTACACAAACAAAACCTTCACTCAGCTCTACCCACAAACCAGTCAGAGAAACATGGAATAGTTTGGGTTGGGAGGGACCTTTCAGCCTCACCCAGTCCAACCCCCTGCAGGGAGCAGGGACATCTGCAGCTAGAGCAGGGTGCTCAGAGCAACATCCAGCCTCACCTGGAATGGTTCCAGGGATGGAGACAACACACATGGAAAAAACTTCACAGAAACAGGAGCAGCATCCACACCAGCACAGACACCAGCACCTCCAGTGCTTGTCCCTGGGTGAGAAACCTCCCTGAGGAAGCAGCATACCCTCCCCAGCCCTGGGCACAGCCCTGGGGACAGCCCAGGCCGCCCTTCCCCACCCTGCAGCTTCCCTCAGATGCTCCCTGATCCCTTATTAGCGTTTAGAGGGGGAGGAGGGAGGTGCAGCCTAAGCTGCAGGGGATTTGCAGGGTTTCCCAGGAAATCCTTCAGCACACACGAGCCTCCAGTGGCTGGGATTAAGAGTAAATACACTTACTGCTCTCTTTTTAAAGCAATTCTCTTCGTGAGAAGCAAACAGGAGGAAATCACACAGATTTCCCCAACCTGGGGCAGATCCCTGGCTGATTTTGGGATGAGGGAGGGTCGCTGCAGGTTAACTGGTCTTCATGAGGAGCCAAGTTGAATGGAAGCAGCACAAGGGAGAGAGAAATGGGACAAACCCTTGGCAGGGACCCAGAAAAAACCCTTGTCACGACACGCTGCTGGCTGCACATCCACCCAGGACACTCCTCCAATGCCTGCAGACCACCAGACAGCAGCAATTGCATGGCCCCAGTCTGGCCAGAACCAGCCAAGGCTGAGGAGACTGGGCAACCAGACATGTCCCCACTAGGATCATCCCCCAGGAGGGGGGTGGGACACAACTGGGAAGCTGGTCCAGGGATTCTCAGTGACATAAATCCAGTGAAAAAAAACCAATCAGCTGAAGAAATCCAGGTGAGCCATGGACAAGAGTGTTCATCAAAACATGAGATGCAGGCCCTGGAAATGTCTGAACGTGCTCCTGTGTCCTGCAGAGAGCAACCTGGTGGTTGTGAAGGCACTGCCAAGCTTCCTGAGCCTTGTGAATGAGAGTGGGGAGTAAAACTCTTTGCTTGGGGCTAAACAGTCCCAGATCTGCCAGGTTACTTGCCACAGACAATTACATCCATTTATTTGTTGGGGTTCTTCAGCCTGGAGGAGAGAATGTTCCAGGGAGACCTGCTGGGGGCTGCCAGGACTTCAAGGGGCTTGTCAGAAAGCTGGGGACAGACTTTGGAGCAGGAGCTGTTGGGACAGGACAAGGGAGATGGTTTGAAACTCAAAGAGAGAGATTGAGACTGGATATAAGGGAGAAATTCTTGATGCTGAGGGTGGTGAGCCCCTGTCCCAGGCTGCCCAGAGAGGTGGTCACTGCCCCATCCCTGGCACCATCCCAGGTGAGGTTGGACCAAGCTCTGAGCACCCTGCTCTAGCTGCAGATGTCCCTGCTCCCTGCAGGGAGGCTGGACTGGATGACCTTGAAAGGTCCCTCCCAACCCAAACTTGAGTTTCTCTTCTCATTAGACAACTGAACTGTGCAAATCCTGATGCAGGAGAAGAAATCAGCATTGCCTAATGCCACCTCTGCCAGGGTGAAGCTTGAAATACCAGTTACTCCTCTTGTGTGGATAGAAAGACTGTTAAATTGAATATAAATAGTGTTAAATTAAACATAAATACCATTGAATTAAATATAAATGCTATTCAATGAAACATCAGCACTGTTGTGGGCTGTCAACATCTCACCTCCTGCCCAGCAGCCTCTCCAGGTAACTATCAGATGAGGTTCTCCAGCCACACTGGACCCACCAAGCCCTGTGGCCCTAAACTCCCCCCAAAAATGCCCAGAGCAGCCTTTGAGAAACAATTGGCACAGATGAAACCCCCGGAGCCTCGCTGCACAAGTATTTTTCTGGGCCATAAAAGCAGCAAGCAGGCTGCAGCTTGTTCATTAAAAAGACAAAAGCCCGTGTAATGTCCCTGTTAAATTGGATTATGGCCCCGAGGAACAAATCCGTGTTTCTGGTGAGGAGAGGCCACTCCTGCCCAGCCAGGAGAGGGTTTCTCACTGGTTTAACCGGCAGAGGGGGCAGGCAGGGCTGGGCAAAGCCCAGCTCTCCTTTCCTCAAGCTCAACCCCAGCCTTTGCTGCCGACACAGCAGCATTAAATAGGGGGAAAAAAATCCTTATTTCCCCTCCCCGAGCTCCTGCTGGCCCAAGGACACACGTTTTCCAACCTTATTTCCTCCTCTGATCCACCCCCAGCCCTCGGAGCAGCAGGGAAATTTTACACCAGCACTTTTGGATGGATCCAGGTGGTTCAAACCAGGCAGATCCCAGCTCTGGGCTCCTCACAGCTGCTCTCCTGTTGTCTCCTTGAGAAAGGCAGGGACGTGGGATTGTGCTCCAGTGTGGAACAGCAACGCTGAGGTGGCAGCTTTTTTGTAAGCCTCAGGTCTTTTGGTTTGGTTTTTTTTTTTATCTAGGCAGCTCTAGGTTAAAGGAAACGTCTCCTGCAGACTAAAATCAGAGAAGAAATCCCAGAAACCAGAAAAGTAGCACAGATCGAGGGTCTCCTGTGTCCTGAGTTTAAAGGTAGAAAAGCTCCAGGGATATAAAAATTGGTTCACAGCACAGAGAAACAGAGAC